GTTACGTGGTTCAGAGAACCAAGTTCAATGTAACATCCGACTTAAGCCAGAAGATTGAAGTGGAACATAATCGAAGCGATCAATAGAAATATCGCGATCACCGTTAAAGTAAAGAAACTTGTAGCTAGAAGTGCTACATGCTAGAATGTGATTATATCACATTAGAACATGAAGGAAGGTATATTCCATTATGGAATTTGACTCTAAAAGACCTGAGTCTAAGCGTTGCATCATACGATGAGAGGTCATTAGAATATGACACATCGGTCTATTATGGTAATCGAATGAAATAACTTATATTAAGCCTGTTAAGAAGAAGAAATAGTTTCCAATAGGAATCAAGATTGTAACTCGAAGGTTACAATTGAAATCCCAACATAGTACGAGGAGCAGATGCAAGATTGAGCATCGCCTGCGGTCAAGAAGTCCAAGAGTTAGATACTCATTCAAAGGAGCACAGAAGTTACAATTATTACCTAGGATGAAAAGATAACGTATGGAGTCATTATACAATCCATGTATTGTTGATGATTTCGGGACGTAATCATCCTAAGGGGGAGAAAATTGTAACGTCCGCAGATTCGGGCTAATCAATTTAGAGACGATAAGCATCAAAAATTACTTTTTGATAGAGGATTATTTAGAATAACTAATCTTAACTAATTTGTAGTATATGTCACAAGGTTTCCGTACATATAAAGAACACTGAAATCCGAGTTATAACGAAGAAGTTATGACCTGTCGAAGTTTCGCGACAAAACCGACACGACACCGGGAATCATAAAAAGTGAGTTTATGATAAAGTACTTTTTAGCCTTAGTGACCTACAAGAAAGTTGTAGAGTACGTCTCCACCTACGCGTGGATATAAAGATTGTCAAAAACGGAGTTCATATGCAAAAGTTATGGCCTTCCGAAGATGCAGTTGTTCAAGGGCATGACACGTGGCAGAAACCCTAGCCGCCTTAAGTCACGACGTGAACATGAAGTTCACGACGTGAAATGTGTCAGGGACACTAATCGGGGCTAGAAAACATGTGTTAAAGCTATGAGATGACTCATGAAAGTTCACGACGTGAACCTATCATGTTCACAACGTGAATTGGCCCAGAACAACCTATAATAGCAAGTTCAGCCCTTTCATTCCTTACACCATTTCTTTTTTCTCTCTCTCTCGTTTGCTGAAGGCGTTTCGCATCCCGAGCCCGACGATCACGAACCGCTGACCGTTCTTAGTTAGATTCTATCAAGTCACGCTAATAAGGTGAGTGCATAGTTACTTTCATCTTACACATAGATATAAAGTATTTAATATAAATTACGTGTTATGTGTGCATTTTATCTGTGTTTTTGATATCTATGTTGGACGAACGTTTTATACATGTTTTAAATGATTTAAACTATATATGTATTTTATATCTACAAATATGTTGGGTAAAACATTCGTAGATGAATTAGATGATGCGTGATGAAATAAAAATTGATGAGAGATCTCGATGTTTAAAATGATCTAGTCATCTTGCAGAGTATAGACATAGTTATCTGTTATTAATCCGGGAGTATGGATTAAGACATAGTTAATTGTCCCTAGTCCGAGAGTATGGAATATGCACAGTTATTGATCCAAGAGTATGGATCAGACATACCAGATCCGGGAGTATGGATCAGGTAAAGAGGTTAGTTTTAGACCCGGAAGTATGGATTAGGTATTTTTGAACTAAGTGTTCACTAGGTGTTTTTGAACTAGGTGTTCATTAAGTAATTTTGAACTGTGTGTTCACTAGATGTTTTGAACTATGTGTTTACCATGTATATTTGAACTACGTGTTTACCAGATGTTTTGAACTATGTGTTCACCAGTTGTAATTTAAGAACCCTGTCAGCTATGGACTTAGTGCCTTATATATGTACGTTGGTAGCTATGGATTTAGTACCGTATAGATGAACATTGGTAGCTATGGACTTAGTACCTTGGCAGCTATGGATTTAGTGCTTGTTGTATAAACCTTGGGCAGCGATGGACTTCGTGCATATTCCTTAGGTCAATCCTTAGGAATGAAGGATAGATGATTCTTATGGTAGATCCTTAAGATTAAAGAAGATAATGGGGATGAGTAATTGGGTTGATTGTTTGATGATTAAATATAATAATTATATTATTTTGGGTTGAAAACCCTATGTACTCTCCAGGTTTCCAAACCTGACCCACTCAACATATTTGTATCACAGGTATCGATACGAAGCTATTTTACATTGAAAGATTAAAGGAGATGTAAATCACTAGTGTAAATAAGGTCTGTTTATGCTTATGTTTTTGTATTGATGATGACATCCCAAAGTTTTAATATAAACAAAATACATTTTTTCGGAAATGCTTTGATAATATATTTATCATGTTTTCTAAGAACAAATTCCGCAATATATTTCTTTAAAAATATACTTTGATTTTCAAATAAAGCATAAACAAATCGGTCTTTTCTGGCCTTGAATTTGGGGATGTCACAATTTTTAAGATTAAACATGGAAGCTACCATCAAGATTTTCAGCACAATGTCTACAATATCCATCAATATTTTGGTGCTTATCTAATAACACACAAATGTTGGCATATAATTTTGTAAGAGCATATAGCAGGAAGAATTGACAAAGCCTACAAACAACACATTATTATAAGAACCAGATGCAGTCGGAAGTGCATTAATGTGTATTAGAGGGATAAATGACTGATTAAAAAATCATACAGTTTTTTTGCAAGCGAAAACTAATTTTCCTAGTTTATTATAATACTATTCTAGTGGGATAAATCATCACAAATTGATTGCGTATCCTCAACGAAACCACCATAAGAAAAATGATATAAATGGAGAATACACGTACCTTCTTACCATCTTTATGATATCTGGAAAAAACTAGTGTAAAACTTTGTCTTTGTAACCTTTGTATCACCGCTTATTGGTCTGCAAATCAAATTAAGGTAAAAAAAAATTTAGCTTAAAAATAAGGGAAATTAGGTGTTGTTTTACAAAAAAAGAGATGAACTTAACCCAATACAACATTAAATGTGAATAACTTCATTTGAGGGGAAAGGTTAAAGGATAACATTGGTGCATCATAGATGCATCTTCCACCTGACATTTGAGGTGGATATTTAAACAATTAGAAATCAACGATCATACACATAATAATAATTGTATAAAACAAACAATTAGATGATACATGTTTGTTACTGTGCTAAATCAGTGATCAAAAAGACACCTGAACAAAATGGTTTGATCAGCGGATTCAATTTGATCACCTAAGTATTGAAAGAACCGGACTGGGAGTGTAGGTTTTAGAATCAGGCAAACCAGCATCACACATACATGTTTCAAACAACTGGGTCAAGATGAGGTTTTGAAATAACAAATCCAAACCGGTTAATCGCCAAATCAGAATGGAAAAACCAGAAAAGAAAATATGTAAAAAGTCAAGAATCATCTAAAATTCTAAATAAAATAGTTAATTATACCTCTTCAAGCCCAAGGAGTTGTTTTTGGATTCAACCACCAGTGCGTCTCTTGTCACTGCCATATCTGTCACGACCTCCTCCAAATCTCTTACCCTAGTGATCGGGATGTCCTCTGTGCTAACATGTATCGTAAATCAATGACGCAGGTAAGCATGTAAGCAATTAAGAAAACCAAAATGAAACCTTTGTGTGTGTGAATAGGGGAGAGAGAGAGAGGGTGGTGTACCTGGTGGCGATGGTTGATAGAATGGGCAGAGCGGCTGTGGTGGTAAAGAAAAAAGACAAATCAGACTTCATATTTTCGTCATGACGAAGGGCGGTTGGCGGTGTACCTGTAAAGCGATTTATGCGGGTTGCGGGCGAGATAATTGCCGAGATATGGGGATTCAACATAGACCATTAGGATTAAACTCAAAATTCTGCGAGATAAGAAAATGGGAGGAAAAAGAAACCCTGGATGTGTTCTACAGATCATAATAGAGAAAAAAAACATCAAATGCGAACCATAAACTGTAAAGAATTCATGTAATATGAAACAAAAAGAAAATAAACACTTGAATCTTCTTGTAACCACCACCACACAGAGTAGAATTAGCGGTGGTAGCAGCTAGGTGTAGCGTAGCAGACATGGTTGTGTGATTGTTGTGGTTGTCGATCTTCAAAATGTAGAGGAGTGGAGATGGGGGAGAGGGTTATATAAATGGGCGTAGAAGAGTACAGATGTATAGTCATTAGGGCGGAAGAAAGGGAACCACAGTAGGGAGATTGTTGAACCGAATAGGGAACATGGACTGGGTCAATGAATCCAGCATTTTTTATTGACTATGTTGACCGGATAAGATTTAATTTCACTGTAATGCATAAAACAGTTGTATATGCTGCATGAAGGTGTGCACCTCTTCAAATTCAGCATCCGATTAATTTTGCATAATAAGTAATATATATATATATATATATATATATATATATATATATATATATATATATATATATTAAAAAACAATAAAAAGTATCAAAATTAATGGGTTTTAATTCTCTACAAATATAGTATAATATTGATATATTATTTATATATATTTAAAATAAAATAAAAGTATGGTAAGATATATATAACACATACTAGTTTTGTAAGGTGATATAAAAAGTGACGTGACCAAAGAAAAACGTAATAAGTGTATGTTAGTTAGTAGGCTGTTTGAATGTTGTTAAAGTCTTGTATGAAAATTAGGCATCTTCTTCGACAATTTGACCATGATTCTATATGATCTTTTTGTCAAAATAAGTAAAGATCCACAGTTTGTAACGTTTTATAGACCGAATTCATTGCAAAAATATAACCGAGGTTGTATGGTTCGATTGATGTTGATTACACGCACAATAGAAGGTCATGCGGGAAGATACGTAGTCTTCATCCTCATCATTCTTACCCTTTTATCCCCACTACAACTATTATCATTTCACATCCATAATCGCCGCATCAATCATCTCCTCAGATGTCAAATCCTCCGCCAGAAGCTAACAACGCCGCCGTAATCAACATCCCTACCCACACCTGCCGTCGCTCTTTCAGATTCCAGAACTTGCCCGGTGCAAAGCCGATTCCACTGGCACTCTCCATCTCCGTTGGACTCATCGTCTGCTTCGCCATCCCAAAACCCAGTCAGGTTACAACACAAGCGTGGCGACTGTTTGCCATCTTCCTCACCACCATCGCGGGACTCATCCTCGGACCTTTGCCCGTCGGTGCTTGGGCTTTCGTGTGTCTAACGATCTCCGTCGTGACAAAGACGCTTCCGTTCAAATCTGCCTTCGCTGCCTTCACGAACGAAGTGATATGGTTGATAGTTGCGTCGTTCTTCTTCAGCAGAGGGTTTGTGAAATCCGGACTGGGTGATCGGATGGCAATGTACTTTGTGAGGTGGTTAGGCAAGAGCACGTTGGGTTTGGCCTACGGTTTGGCGATTTGCGAAGCTATAATTTCGCCGGCGATGCCTAGTACCACTGCCAGGGCCGGTGGGATCTTCTTGCCGATTATTAATTCCTTGGCGATCGCCGGTGAGAGTAGGCCTAAGGACGGCTCCGCTCGGAGACTTGGTGCTTTCCTCGTTCAATCTCAATTTCAGGTACGCTCATAACATCTGTTACAAGTTTCAAATGCTTTTTTCTTTCAGAAAGGTATGCATTAATTAATTAATTATATATTTACTAACACTATTACAACTGTTTCCAATTTCCAATTTTGAGTAATATATGCATGAGAGATATAAAATATTTAAGGTATTGCTTGGTATTACATTGCAACAAGAAAAGTTTATTTCTAATATTTAAAATGGAACATGGTCATGATTTAACTTATTTTTTAAATCATATAGTAATATAATGAAAAACTAAAATATGATAAAATCTTTCATGATTTTAATTGGAAAAAACGTTTTTATTACTGATAACTAAAAATATCTTTATCATAATCTTATTTTGGCTCTAATGAACTTATTATGTTCAAGCTTTTAATTTCATATATAATATTATGTTAATTATGACACAAAATATATAAATTAGAGTTACATAGCATAGTATGTTTAGGTACACAATATTTTTAGCCATACATAACAATTTATTTTTTATATAATTGTATTGTACAATCATCTAATGCATAAATTATTATGTATGACTAAAAAATGTTGTGTATAAATCATCTAATGCATAAATTATTATGTATGGCTAAAAAATGTTGTGTATAAATCACTACCTTAAGTTTACATATAATGCAAACTATTATTCAAAACTATCAAAAATTAAAGTATTAATCAAACGTGAAACATAATTACTTAATATAATAACTTATTAATTATCTATCTGTATTTTATTTCTATTATCATTTTATCACATGCAACTAAACAAACCGGTGCACCCCTAGTCGGCGGGGTGTGAGTGGGATAAGATAGGATATCTCACGACAAAAGGTGACCATTCATCTGATTCGGATTTAATTGATAATCAATTACTTAGATAATACAAGACATGTAAGAGTTTGCAGAATCGTGTGTTATTTTGTCTTCGTTTTGGTAAATTATTGTATTTAATGCAAATCTCCATAGAAGCTTTTCTTTCGGCACAAGTACACACACAGCGAGTCGACGAATCCAACGTTTACGATTATTTAAAAAAAAAAGTTTGATTAATAAAATAGAAAATGGCAATTTAAGTTAATCTCATTAACTTTTTTTTTCTTCAAAAAATGGTCATAGTAAAATGACTTAAATAGCTACCATTTTTACAGGTCGCCAAATACTACAATCTAGCTGCCTGCGCCTGCGATATTTTTAGGTTTTCTTATGTCACCACCAAAAATATCTATGATTTTTCTTTTTTCGAGATTTTCACGCAAACTAATGTGGAGTGAGATTGTTTCTGACAAAAATTATCCAACCCCAACCCAATCGAAAACGTCTAACTCATTTAAGTTAAATAGATCAATACGTCTAATTCATTTAATTAAATAGGTTGCGGTGGGTAAAAATTGTGAAGCCGTTTTCAACTGACAACCCATTTAATTTTAATATATGTTTAATTTAATATTTATTTGAATATTATCTTGTATTAATCGATTTATTAAATTATAAATTAAAATGTTGTATTATTATTTGTGTTTTAAAAAAAATGCAATCTTAATTCCAATCTTTTTTCTTATCGCCGAAAATATTAGCCACTCTCCAAAATCCCTTTGAAACTAAATTTTTTTAATGTTATTTGAACAATTTATTCAAATTTGTAAATTGTGATTGTGCTCTTATCATATTTTGAAATTTTATTTATGTTTGGAACTGATTTATATAGTATAATTTTTAGTTAATGTATTTAATTTTTTGATTTTAAGTAAGTTAACTCAAGTTTAACTCATTTATTTAATAGGTTGGATCGAGAACTATATAAATAGGTCAACCCGATGACAATCTATTTATCTAAAAGTTGTGTTAGGTTGGAAATATCAACACACTTAAATAAACAGGTTGGGTTAGGTTAAAATTTTTAACCTAATTAATAAATGGATTGAACCCGAACCCAACTCAGGTCGACCCATGGTCAGCTTTAATTTGTTTGTTGATTTTTTTTTTTTGAATGTTAAAAGGATAAATGTTATTAAGTTTATTCTAACCACAATAGATAGAAGAGGTCAATATGAAAAAAAAAAGTATGATCTTAGGATAAAACTATCCTATCTTTTAAGCTTACATAGTATCCTGATATGATATCTGGAGTTCGCATGCTAAACTAATTAATGTTAAAGTTGGGTCTTTTTTTTCAATTTTTTTTACGGAGTAAACTATTTTGGAGTTAAAAACTTGTGACGTCTTGAGATCCAAATTTGGAATATAAAATATCTATGGATACCCATGTTAGTATACAAAGAACACACAAAAAAATATCTACATTTAAGTGAGTTCGTATGAAAGAGTTACGAAGATTCAAAGTTCGTAAAAAAACAAGATTTTCACAGGTCATCACTTACACAAATCTCACTCTCACTTTTTATCAGGTTACGAGTATTTGAGTCATTTTTGGATTTTTACCTATTTTAAAAAATAAAATAAAAAGCTTGGTAATGGTAAAATTAGCTAAATTTGTGATTTTCTGTTAATATAATATAATATATAATATACACAATAAAATATTCAGTTAATCAAAAATATTCTTTTCAACATCAAAAAATTTAGAGTAAATTGGTCCATGTAGTATTCATCCATTTGTAGTTTTAATTATATTTTGAAAAAACCGATGTCGTTGGCTAAACGTAAAGCAAAAAGGATGAATATTTATGGATTTAGTTATATTTTTGAAAAATTGATGTGGTTGCATAAACGCATGCAAAAAGATTAAAACTTATGGCTTTTAAATCCTAAGAGGACAATCTCTACCAATAAGAACTAAAAAAATCCGGAGATTTTTTTTTCTCAATAATTTTCAATCAAAACACCATAAAATATGTAATGATTCTCTGTTTTCAATATTCATGAAAAAAAAAGCATCAAAATAACAATTTTTTTATTGCATTTTTTTTTTGACAAAACAACAGTAGAGGTGCAAATATGCACCATAGGATTCACATTGAAAAAAATAAAATCACAGTTAACCTATAAATATGAAATCCGAACACCATTTGAATGGAAGAACAACAACAAGAACAAATCTTTAGGAGGCAAACAAAGGTAACCAGATAGAATAAGATCCACTATTAAAATCCTTAACAAAAATCCATAACGGTAAGGTCATTAGGATTAACGATAAAGGAAACAATAAAACCACAACTAAAGTCCGTAAAGATCGTGCTACCGGGACAAATGATAGAGGTTCCAAGATCTCACCACCAAGATTCATAAGGGCAAGATGATTAATCAAAATTGTATTCCAAAATATTACAATTTTGATTATATAAAATCGACCAAATAAAAACATGAACACAAAAAATTAGCAAAATTTCACAAAAAACTATGCTTCTTCAAATTTAGCTTGATCGATAAATCAAAAGTTCTTTCCAAAACATAACAATTTTGATTATATGAAATCTACCAAAGAAAAACATGAAAACAAAACGTTAGCAACATTTCATAAACACATTACATAAACAGTTATTATATCAATTAATAATAGTTATTAAAAGAAATGTAAAGTCATTGAAAAATATAAAGACATAGGGTTTCAAATCAATATAAAACTTAAAAATATGTCTATTATATATAGATATATATATATATATATATATATATATATATAGATATATATATATAATATATATATATAAAATCGAGTTCCTAACTCAAATAGAAAGAACAAAAGAAACTCTATTCTATGGAAATTCTTCAACCAAAACATAAATACATAATGCCAATGTTGTTTTAGACAATAGAATTTATCTAATAGTTTTTTTTAATATATATATATATATATATATATATATATATATATATATAGATGTGCTAGATGTGTGCCCGTACAAAGCAGCGACAATAAATAACTCTTTTGCCGAATAGTTTTCTTACGAGAAAATAAGTATTAGATTTTATTATTAGTATTATGTAATAAAAAAGTTACCACTTTTAATTAAAATATTTATGTTTATACCTTATATTTATATTGTTTGTATATATAATTGATGTACATTAATTATTATCGGTGTCTACTTTAAGAAATATAAATTGATTTATAAACATGAACTTAGTATTTTAAAATTATCATTTTGCTCCAAATTAAATTTCTTAATAACCTTGCTTAATTTAACTTTTAAAACTTTTAGTAAATATTAATGATTTATTTATGCATATTTGCTTTGTACAAAAAAACTAAGTATATACCTCTTAAAATTGAAGATATATAACTAATATTCTTTATAATATATATATATATATATATATATATATATATTATTTATTTTAGGCAAAATTATATAAATTGTCTCCTTGTATTTCAAAAGTCACAATATTTCTTTAAGAAATTTGATCTCTGTGGTTTTAAAACTTATATTGATGGTCTTTAAGACACATCGATTGACTAACATATCTTTTTTTATTTAATATTTTATTTTCTTTTATATAAGACATGTCCTTTATATATATATATATATATATAATATATATATATATATATATATATAATTCAAATAGAAACAGTAAATAGTGTAAAAACGAAAAAACACTATTTTTATATTATTATTCTGCAACGAATTTTATATCGTCAGCTTTATGTAATTATTCAATATTGAATAAATGGATAATCACACATTAAAACTAATATAATAATTTACTACAATAATAAACATACATAAAATTTATAATAGAATAATAGCATTCTAATGAATATATAATTAATTAAACGTTAATATTTACATTAAAATTATTTCAACAATACATATATACGGCATTCATTGCTGAATAATAATATAAAATAGTATTTTTATATTTTCATACTATTTACTATTTTTTATTTAAACTTTTATATATATATATATATATATATATATATATATATATATATATATATATATATATAATGCTTCGGAATAACTATTCGATTTCGTCCAAAAAAATATATAAATTTGGAAATCGATCGTTGGAAATCCGTCACAAAA